AAGAGAAGAGAAGAGAGGAGGAGAGAGGAGAAGAGGAGAGGAGAGAAGAGGAGATAAAGGAAGAGAAGAAAAGATTGGGGTGGGGTTGGGTTGGGGTGGGGTTGAGTGGTGGTGGATTTGGCATTATATTGGGGTTGGGTGGGGGTGAAGTCGGGAGCGGGGCTGGGATGAATGGGGGCGGGGAGTAGGGAGCACTGAAGAAAGCCAAAAGAAGCTAGATAAACTCTTGATTTGTTTCTTAAAGATGACTTTTCAAAAAGTGCATAGTCAATGCAAATAGCAAGTAATGGCCACAGAGAGACATAACAAAGAGCAGAAATCTATGTCTCTCAAGCACTGGGATCTATGTGTGTCACAAAGCGGAGGCGGGTCAGGCACTCGGCAGTTTTTGGGCACGTGGAGTTATTGTTATCATTAAAGTCTGTTCATTTTTGTTACTTTTGAGGGAAAAAATACCCACCTATCTTGAATAGAAGTCAAGATATTTTAAATGAAGAAGGTGGGGGATCACCCGTTTCAGTGGTAAAATTAGCGACAAAATGGCCCTCAAAGTTGGGTGAATTCGGTAGCTTGAGAGTCCTTGAAACTGAAAATTCACATTTTTTTTATTTTAATCAATGTTATTCAGTAAAATCCACCTAGAAATGTGATTTTAAATGGAAATAAAAGATGTTGAGCCAAAAAACAAAAATTCAATAAAAATTGCTGTTTTCTTCAATTTCACTATCTTACGACCGCCTGATTTCACCTCACATATCATAATGATAAAGTCCAAAAATTTCCGATTGTCTAGGACAACCATTTTTCTCCTCAACAATGGGTGACAATCTTAATCAAACAATTCCTACTGTACTTACACTTTCCCTGTATATGATTTTCTGAGGCTAAACTGTGGCGAATGTGGTGTTTAGACAAAACAGAAGTAACTTCAACTCTAGTAGACACATATGTCTGACCGGCAGCAGACCAACAGCAATGTTGTGGCACATTTCCAATCATTATATATGCAAATAAGAAACACAAATTAGCATACTTCAAAGCATGCATATTGTTGCCTGTCTGTTTAAGTTTAAGTCATAGAAAACAGGAATTGAAAAATCAGAGAATAAATCACAAAATTATGCTGCTTTCTTTTTTTAGGTGACCCATAGAAGCCCCAGAATGCACATATATATATATATGTGAAGTGTGCTGACAAAATGAGTTACTTCTCGGATTCAAGCCTTATGGAAATTGAAATATTATGCTTATAAGTGAAGTTTTACAATTTACAAGTATGAAATAATAAGAGGCATGTTATACATAACAACAGAGCATCAATAGAAGATCTACTAATTTGACCTCGGTTTTGAATTTTTGCCAATATCTCCTTTTGTGGATTGCGAGAAGTAACTCATTTTGTCAGCACGCCACACATATGGTCATGGAGTTCACTAGCAGGCTTAGCTTCCCTCAGTTCTACAAAAAGTTGCAAAGGAAAACTTTTTGTCTATTGTGTTCCATAAAACTGAGACCAATATGAAGTGGCAAAGGAAAAAAAGAGAGGAAACATAAATAAATGGATATGAATAATCATGTGATGTGGGCCAATGACCTTAAATACTGAATACAATATCTACCAACTTACTTAGAGTATGTCATTACAACTTTTGATTCTGAAAAAAATAACTGCTTTAAAATTGACAATATTTTGTCCTAGAGATGAATCTATACATGCCATCAGCAAGCTGCTCAACTGCTTTAAGGGGTCTTGCGGGTAACGATTTTGGACAATTTTTGATGAAATTATCAATATTCTGAAAAGTAGTTTCTTAACACCTTTGATCATTGCTGAATCAGACTTTTTGGTCCAGTTGGTAAAAAAATTGATAAAATAGAATAGATGAAAAAAACGAACTGCCTCCCCCC